ACTGATGACTCTCACTACACTGATGACTCTCATTACATTGATGACTCTCATCACACTGACGACTCTCACTACACTGATGACTCTCATTACACTGATGACTCTCATTACACTGATGACTCTCATCACACTAATGACTCTCACTACACTGATGACTCTCACTACACTGATGACTCTCACTACACTGATGACTCTCACTACACTGATGACTCACTACACTGATGACTCTCACTACACTGATGACTCACTACACTGATGACTCATCACACTGATGACTCTCACTACACTGATGACTCTCATCACACTTATGACTCTCACTACACTGATGACTCTCATCACACTGATGACTCACTATACTGATGACTCTCACTACACTGATGACTCTCATCACACTGATGACTCTCACTACACTGATGACTCTCACTACACTGATGACTCTCACTACACTGATGACTCTACACTGATGACTCTCACTACACTGATGACTCTCACTACACTGATGACTCTCACTACACTGATGACTCTCATCACACTGATGACTCTCTGTACACTGATGACTCTCACTACACTGATGACTCTCATCACACTGATGACTCTCACTACACTGATGACTCTCACTACACTGATGTCTCTCACTACACTGATGACTCTCACTACACTGATGACTCTCACTACACTGATGACTCTCACTACACTGATGACTTTCATCACACTGATTACTCTCACTACACTGATGACTCTCACTACACTGATGACTCACTACACTGATGACTCTCACTACACTGATGACTCTCACTACACTGATGACTCTCACTACACTGATGACTCTCATCACACTGATGACTCTCACTACACTGATGACTCTCACTACACTGATGACTCTCACTACACTGATGACTCTCACTACACTGATGACTCTCATCACACTGATGACTCTCACTACACTGATGACTCTCACTACACTGATGACTCATCACACTGATGACTCTCACTACACTGATGACTCTCATCACACTGATGACTCTCACTACACTGATGACTCTCATCACACTGATGACTCACTACACTGATGACTCTCACTACACTGATGACTCTCATTACACTGATGACTCTCACTACACTGATGACTCTCACTACACTGATGACTCTACACTGATGACTCTCACTACACTGATGACTCTCATCACACTGATGACTCACTACACTGATGACTCTCACTACACTGATGACTCTCACTACACTGATGACTCTCATCACACTGATGACTCTCACTACACTGATGACTCTCACTACACTGATGACTCTCACTACACTGATGACTCTCACCACACTGATGACTCTCACTACACTGATGACTCTCACTACACTGATGACTCTCACTACACTGATGACTCTCACTACACTGATGACTCTCACTACACTGATGACTCTCATCACACTGATGACTCACTACACTGATGACTCTCACTACACTGATGACTCTCATCACACTGATGACTCTCACTACACTGATGACTCTCATCACACTGATGACTCTCACTACACTGATGACTCTCACTACACTGATGACTCTCATTACACTGATGACTCTCATCACACTGATGACTCTCATCACACTGATGACTCTCACTACACTGATGACTCTCATTACATTGATGACTCTCATCACACTGACGACTCTCACTACACTGATGACTCTCATTACACTGATTACTCTCATTACACTGATGACTCTCATCACACTAATGACTCTCACTACACTGATGACTCTCACTACACTGATGACTCTCACTACACTGATGACTCACTACACTGATGACTCTCACTACACTGATGACTCTCACTACACTGATGACTCATCACACTGATGACTCTCACTACACTGATGACTCTCATCACACTGATGACTCTCACTACACTGATGACTCTCATCACACTGATGACTCACTACACTGATGACTCTCACTACACTGATTACTCTCATCACACTGGTGACTCTCACTACACTGATGACTCACTACACTGATGACTCACTACACTGATGGCTCTACACTGATGACTCTCACTACACTGATGACTCTCACTACACTGATGACTCTCACTACACTGATGACTCTCACTACACTGATGACTCTCACTACACTGATGACTCTCATCACACTGATGACTCTCTGTACACTGATGACTCTCACTACACTGATGACTCTCATCACACTGATGACTCTCACTATACTGATGACTCACTACACTGATGACTCTCACTACACTGATGACTCTCACTACACTGATGACTCTCACTACACTGATGACTCTCATCACACTGATGACTCTCACTACACTGATGACTCTCACTACACTGATGACTCTCACTACACTGGTGACTCTCACTACACTGATGACTCTCACTACACTGATGACTCTCACTACACTGATGACTCTCACTACACTGATGACTCTCATCACACTGATGACTCTCTGTACACTGATGACTCTCACTACACTGATGACTCTCATCACACTGATGACTCTCACTACACTGATGACTCTCACTACACTGATGACTCTCACTACACTGATGACTCTCACTACACTGATGACTCTCATCACACTGATGACTCTCACTACACTGATGACTCTCACTACACTGATGACTCTCACTACACTGATGACTCTCACTACACTGATGACTCTACACTGATGACTCTCACTACACTGATGACTCTCATCACACTGATGACTCTCACTACACTGATGACTCACTACACTGATGACTCTCACTACACTGATGACTCTACACTGATGACTCTCACTACACTGATGACTCTCACTACACTGATGACTCTCATTACACTGATGACTCTCACTACACTGATGACTCTCACTACACTGATGACTCTCATCACACTGATGACTCTCTGAACACTGATGACTCTCACTACACTGATGACTCATCACACTGATGACTCTCACTACACTGATGACTCTCACTACACTGATGACTCTCACTACACTGATGACTCTCACTACACTGATGACTCTCACTACGCTGATGACTCTCATCACACTGATGACTCTCACTACACTGATGACTCTCACTACACTGATGACTCTCACTACACTAATGACTCTCACTACACTGATGACTCTCATCACACTGATGACTCTCTGTACACTGATGACTCTCACTACACTGATGACTCTCATCACACTGATGACTCTCACTACACTGATGACTCTCACTACACTGATGACTCTCACTACACTGATGACTCTCACTACACTGACGACTCTCACTACACTGATGACTTTCATCACACTGATTACTCTCACTACACTGATCACTCTCACTACACTGATGAGTCACTACACTGATGACTCTCACTACACTGATGACTCTCATCACACTGATGACTCTCACTACACTGATGACTCTCACTACACTGATGACTCTCATCACACTGATGACTCTCACTACACTGATGACTCTCATCACACTGATGACTCTCGCTACACTGATGACTCTCACTACACTGATGACTCTCACTACACTGATGACTCTCACTACACTGATGACTCTCACTACACTGATGACTCTCACTACACTGATGACTCTCATCACACTGATGACTCTCACTACACTGATGACTCTCACTACACTGATGACTCTCACTACACTGATGACTCATCACACTGATGACTCTCACTACACTGATGACTCTCATCACACTGATGACTCTCACTACACTGATGACTCTCATCACACTGATGACTCACTACACTGATGACTCTCACTACACTGATGACTCTCATCACACTGATGACTCTCACTACACTGATGACTCTCACTACACTGATGACTCTCACTACACTGATGACTCTACACTGATGACTCTCACTACACTGATGACTCTCATCACACTGATGACTCACTACACTGATGACTCTCACTACACTGATGACTCTCATCACACTGATGACTCTCACCACACTGATGACTCTCACTACACTGATGACTCTCACTACACTGATGACTCTCACCACACTGATGACTCTCACTACACTGATGACTCTCACTACACTGATGACTCTCACTACACTGATGACTCTCATCACACTGATGACTCTCACTACACTGATGACTCTCACTACACTGATGACTCTCACTACACTGATGACTCTCACTACACTGATGACTCTCACCACACTGATGACTCTCACTACACTGATGACTCTCACTACACTGATGACTCTCACTACACTGATGACTCACTACACTGATGACTCTCATCACACTGATGACTCTCACTACTCTGATGACTCAATGCACTGATGACTCTCACTACACTGATGACTCTCATCACACTGATGACTCTCACCACACTGATGACTCTCACTACACTGATGACTCTCACTACACTGATGACTCTCACTACACTGATGATTCTCACTACACTGATGACTCTCACTACACTGATGACTCTCATCACACTGATGACTCACTACACTGATGACTCTCACTACACTGATGACTCTCACTACACTGATGACTCTCATCACACTGACGACTCTCACTACACTGATGACTCATCACACTGATGACTCTCACTACACTGATGACTCCCATCACACTGATGACTCTCACTACACTGATGACTCCCATCACACTGATGACTCTCACTACACTGATGACTCTCACTACACTGATGACTCTCACTACACTGATGACTCTCACTACACTGATGACTCTCACTACACTGATGACTCTCACTACACTGATGACTCCTATCACACTGATGACTCTCACTACACTGATGACTCTCACTACACTGATGACTCTCACTACACTGATGACTCTCACTACACTGATGACTCACTACACTGATGACTCTCACTACACTGATGACTCTCACTACACTGATGACTCTCACTACACTGATGACTCTCACTACACTGATGACTCTCACTACACTGATGACTCTCACTACACTGATGACTCTCACTACACTGATGACTCTCATCACACTGATGATCTTGGACCAGTTGGACCAAAAAAAAGTTTACAGGTACAGTGTAGGCCAAATTTTTCGAAATGCCCTAAAAAAAAAGAATATTAATAGGATTGTATGAACTTTTTCACAAAGCACAGATTAACTAATGTAACTGGACAAGTCTAAATTGGAAAAAGGCACTCAAAAATTTAGGCAGGTGCTCAATTTTTTATTAAATTATGTAGTACATTCCCCCTCCTTTTAGTATGCAAAATGTACTGTATACGAAAAACAGTACAGAATGGGTCACATAACCAGAGACCAAACAAAACGTTACTCGTCAGTCCTAACCAGGCTGATAAGGGCAAAAAAAATGGTGTTATGAACAGATTATCCAACTTAAAGGTGTTATAAAAAAGACCTGGAAAAACCCATCAGAAATTCTAGGAACAAAAAAGATATCACAAAACAGCGCAATTGAACTAACAAAACCAGATGAACCCCAACTCCCACTAACTGAAACAGCAAACAAGCTATTTCTTCTCCACCATAGGAAAAAACCTTGCCAATAAAATCCCAAGCTCAAATACCCCACCCAATGACTACCTCACTGGCAACTACCCGAATACACTGTTCCTAGCTCTGACTAACCCAACAGACGTCTTCCTTATTATCAACACTAAAAAAAAAAGACAGGAGACTTAAATGCCTTGCCACCCTTTATATACGAAAGTGTCGCAAGTGCTGTCACCAGTCATTGCAACACTTTAACAAATCCATCGAATCCTCTACCTTCCCTACAGTACTCAAAATAGCGAGGGTCACCCCAATCCATAAAGGAGGAGACCAAACAGACTTGAATAACTATTGGCCAATATCCAACCTACACCCTCTCTTTCAAATCTTTGAAAAATTAATTCATAAGCGAATCTATTCCTATCTCATCTCCCACAACATGCTCGACCCCTGTCAGTTTGGGTTCATGCCTAATAAAAATACGAATGATGCTATTGTACACATGCTAGAAAAAATATACACTACACTAGAGAAAAAAGTCCCATTGGGAATCTTCATTGATTTATGTAAAGCTTTTGATACAGTTGACCATGACTTGCTCCACATAAAATTGTCGCACTATGGTATAAGAGGGCACTTCCTCAATTACCTAAAGTCATACATCTGCAACAGAAGCCAATATGTGTACACAAATGGAGCAAACTCTTCCGCACAGCCAATTACAGTGGTGTCCCACAGGGAAGTGTCCTTGGCCCTCTTCTCTTTTTGTTTACATAAATGGCCTACCAAATGCATCGCAACTACTCAAACCCACACTATTTGCAGATGGCACTACATACGTCATCTCTCACCCGAGCTCAGTCGTACTAGCTAATACTGTGAATACCGAATTACAGAAAATATCTACCTGGATGAAGACTAACAAACTTACTCTCAACATTGACAAAACCTACTTCATTCAGTTTGGTAACAGAGCTACAGATGTCCCTCTTAACATAATGATAAATGGATCACCTATCACAATGCTCAGAGGGAAAATTCTTAGGAATCCACCTTGATAATACTTACATTTCAAACACATGTACAACAAATTTCCAAGAAAATTTCAAAGACCATAGGCATACTATCGAAGATACGGTACTATGTTCCACAGTCAGCCCTCCTGGCCCTATATCACTCGCTTATTTACCCCTCTCTCACCTATCGAATTTGTGCATGGGGCTCAACAACAACAAACCATCTCAGACCATTAATTACCCAACAAGAGGCTGCAGTCAGAATGATACATTCCCACTACAGGCAGCACACTCCACCAATATTCAAAACTAAACCTACTTGCTATACAAAACATCCATACTTCTTATTGTACCTACTACATACATAGAACACTCAACTCGGATATAAACCCGACCCCTCAAACGTCTCCTTACCAACCTCATAACACATGACCATAACACAAGGCACAGATCACTTTGATATTCCTCGTGTCCATCTCACACTATGCAAAAACTCAATGCACATAAAAGGCTCAAAAATCTGGAATTCATTACCTGTGAATATAAAAGAAACACTGTCTGTTTATAAATTAAAGTCTCCTCTTAAAAATCACTTACTCACCCACAACTAAATAAATACTGAATAATTGTATCTCAAATGTTTAACCTGTGACCCAATCAATCTGTTATTTTTAATTACATTACCTAACAGAATACTCCATTCTACTTAATGCTCAGCAACACAGTAAATGACCATATGACCTGTCTTTGAAATAGTCATTTGTGTTTAATTGTTAAATGTTTACAATGTTTACCACTGAATATATCATTGCTTAGTTAATCTTAAGTTAATTTTAAGCCTGCCCATAATGCTCTGCATACAAGGGGCTTTGGCATGTTACACTTAAACACTGTATTTCCTTGTAGTTCTATGTATCATGTTCAAATTAATAATTAAAATAAATAGAATGCTCTTGGTAAACTGAAGCTTGTCACTTAATCTAACCACTGCTTGTGACAAAGGAAAAAATTTGAATGGAAGCATTTAACCTAATTAGAATAACAAGGGATATGATCAAAGAATATGATCATAACATGCAAAATACCTTTATTAAAGGGCATGAGAAGAGTAGAGAAAGATAGGTTGTACAATAAAGTCAAGAGGGCATGGTTGAAAATTACATAGGGAAATCCATATGAACTAAAAATATTTAAAGTATGCCAAAGTAGAGCGAATAGTGAAGTTATGAATGCAGTAGAGCTACAAAGTACAGGGTTTCGTAACTGCCATTAGTCATTTGGTTGAAGCAGACTCCTACACACTCGAGTAGGCAGTTACATGAGAATTTTGTACCATCTCTACATTTAGTCATAATAAGAATAATAGTCAGAATAATTGTCATGTTACAACACTACACCTTATTAAATTGCATTAGCATTGCTAATTCTTTCTGTACTTGATGTCAGTGCTCCTCTGCTATACCTAAATTGCCAATTTATTCTCCTGTGTCTGTTCCTGCAGAATTGCCTCTGGCCTGTCCTCTTTCCTACCTTTACCTTCCCTTCCCAAGAATTATAGGTATGCTTCAGCTTTGGGATTACCTTTGGGCAGCATACCTCTCCAAAATGCCTTGCATAATGAGCTTGCTATAGTTTCATACTTGCAAGGCGTGGTCATGGACTAGGCCATGGGGATGTTGACCCTTGGAACACCCTCCAGGTATACCCTAATTGTAAAATGTACTGTATTATTCCACTTCCTATAGTTAAATTTTCAGGACCTATTCTGTCATTATCCTCAAAGCCAACTTTTATTTTTATTAGCCTTAGTCCTTGTTGTGCAATGCTGAGTTATCAGATGTGTTTAATGTTGTGTATGAATAATCCACAGGGCTCTAGCAGTATCTACTCTCACATCAGTGTTTAATTTTATTAGAGCACGTTTTAAAATTCTTATAGGTATGAGGACATTAACAATAAAATATTGTTTGACAGAACGGAGGATCTAGTGTTGACCCTAGCATTCCCTTGAGTCGTCTACTAGCTCAAAGCTACAGTTACAGCTCTGACAGTTCAATTTCACCACATGCCCCACTGACTCCTCGTACAGCCTCCCAGGTTAGTATTATACATTTTGCAGTATACATGTATAGCTTGCCAGATGTGGAGCCATAATTAAGATTACAAAGGAATTTTTTAAACAAATTATTTTTCTTGTTACCTAGGTCATGTTGGCCAAAGGATGCAGGATATTCAGAATTAGAAAAATCTTAAATTAATAGAATATAATTGGTTGGGGAAGTGTGTAATTAACTAGTTTGCATGTTGTAAATTAAAATTATTTATGGTCGCCCAATTATTAACTGGTAACCTTTACTACTTTTCATTATAGCATATTAACATCAGTATAAAAAAAACTAATTTAAATTACCATATGCCCCAAAATCTAAAGTAAATTAGATATATTCAGCTAGACTTCTTCCTACGTACATTTTTTTTCTGTACGTTGGCAGTCTCCTACTGGGGCAGGGTGACACTAAAAAGAAACTTTCACCATCATTCACACACACTTTGCAGAGGCGCTCAGTTACGACAGTTTAAATGTCACTCTAAACTGCAAGTATCCCCAAACCCCTCTTTTAAAGTGCAGGCATTTCATTTCCCACCTCAAGGACTTAAGTCCAGCTAACCAATTTCCCTGAATCCCTTCATGAAATGTTGCCCTGCTCACACTCCAACAGCTCGTCAGGTCACAAAAACCGTTAGTCTCCATTCACTCCTATCTAACACGCTCTCACGTGCTTGCTGGAGGTCCAGTCCCTTTACCTACAAAACCACCACCCTGATGCCTCGGAATAATGTCGACACACTACCAGCAAAACCTGGTGGAAGCACTGATGTCCATACAGGGGTAAAAGACAGAGGAAACAAAAAATAAATGCACCAGCAGTGAATGCAGCTACAATAAATCCTAGCAAACAGAAGTACAATCTATGTAAATACTATGCCTTGGGTATCTGCAGGCACAGTATATCTGGTAAAACAGGTGGGACATGCACCTTTGACCATTCCAAAAAATGCTGCACCCACATGACAACAGGAGAGTGCAACTTCCCTTCTTGCAACTTATTTCACCCAGAAGTGTGTCTAATCAATCCATGAAAGAAAATGCTACAATGCATACTGCCAGGCACATCTAAAGGGGACTAGAAGACAGACCAGCCAGACCATGGAAAACAAGAGAGGAGCCACAACCTCTCCAGGGAGAGAGGTTTTTTAAGGCCCAGAAGGGAAAAGACAAGGCAAGAAATGACAGTAATCCTACACCACCTGAAAACGCTTCTGGAGGAGAGGCACGGACATTGGCCTCTACCCTAGGACAACAGATATTAGTGCCAGGAAATAAAACCCTCCTAAATTCCACCAATACGACATTTGTCTTTGCAAACATACAGGGTCTAAAGCTGTCAAAAAAACAACAAAATTCCTTACATCAAGGGACTGTTCATGGAGTCAAATGCAATGTTTACAGCATTCACAGACCCACATAAAGGATTATTACAAAAACAAAATATGTATCCCAGGTTATAACCTATTCTGATGCGACAGACTAAACAGGCAACAAAGGGGGGGGGGGGGTTGGCCTTTGTCAGTCGCTCATTTGCACAGAACTACTAAACACCTCAAATGATGTAGTTGAAGTTTTGGCGGTGAAGATCAAAAACCAAAACCTTGTCATTGTGGTAGTATACAAGCCTCCAAATGCAACTTCCCAGCAATTTCAGGAGCAGCTTGAGAAAATTGACCACTGTCTGGAAAATCTCCCAACTCCTGCCCCCAAACATCTTGCTACTAGATTTCAACCTGAGACACCTAAAATGGAGGAGTATAGCAAACGACGTTTTAGCAGAGATTACCTCGGGAGGCAGTTCAGGTGAAAATTCACACACGAACTATTAAATCTCTGCCACAAATTCACTTTAAACCAGCAAATAGAGCCTACAAGACTAGAAAATATGCTGGACCTCATCTTCACTAACAATGATGATCTGATACGTAATATAACTATCAGACAATTCACTTAGATCACAACGTGATAGTTAGACATGTATGCACAGGGCTCCAGACCAGCAAAATGTGAGCAGTCATGAAGGTCTCTTCACAAAATTAAATTTCGTTATTAAAAAACAGTGGGATAAAGTAAACAATGTCCTAAATGGAAACGAGCTGGGAAGATGTCCTAAACAACACTGATCCGAACATTTGCCTTGAAAAAATGAATTCTGTGGTTCTTGAGATCTGCTCAAGACTCGTTCCATCAAGAGAGATGATAACTAGAGACGTTCCCTATACAGATGAAGGCGAAGAGTCAGAGCTGCTGAGTGGGGTCAATATATCTGAAGTATGAAGGGAGGCCCTAGTCAATGAAATTGCAAATATCGAACTTGAGCTGAAGGAATCTTACAGGAGACAAGAATCATGGGAAGAACTAAAAGCCATAAAGGAAATTAAAAACCCAAAATAATACTTATGCCAAATCTAAGGGAAAAACATCCAGTATTGGTTCCCTGCTTAGGCAAGATGGGACATACAGATGATAGCCAAGAAATGAGTAAGATACTAAAGTCCCAGTATGACTTGGTGTTCAGCGATCCACTGCCCACTCTAAGGGTCGACAATCTAAATTAATTATTTATGAACGAAACCCAAAATTTGGTCATCCCAAAACTCTCGGATGTTATTCTAGCTGCACAAGATTTTGAAGAGGCAATTAATGACATGCCCATGCACTCTGCCCCAGGCCCAGACTCGTGGAACTCCGTGTTCATCAAGAATTGCAAGAAGCCCCAATTGTTCCTTCAGCATTTTATGGAGAGGGATGACATGGATCATCCCACACACACTAAAAACAACAAACATAGCCCAACTCCACAAAGGTGGTAGTAAAGCAATTGCAAAGAGCTACAGACCGATAGCACTGACATCCCTATCATAAAAATCTTTGAGAGGGTTCTAAGAAGCAAGATAGCCAACCACCTAGATAGCCATCAATTACACAACTCAGGGCAACAAGGGTTTAGAGCAGGTCGCTCCTGCCTGTCCCAGCTACTGGACCACTATGACAAGGTCCTGGATGCTGTAGAGGATGAACAATACAGATGTAGTATACACACTTTGCAAAAGCTTTCGACAAGCGTGACAATGATGTAATAGCGCACAAAATGTGGGATAAAGGAATAACGGGAAAAGTTGGTAGATGGATCTACAACTTCTGACAAACAGAACACAGAGTAAAGTCCCAGGCAGCCATGGTAAAAAGCTGTTCCACAAGGCACAGTACTTGCTCCCATTCTATTCCTCATCCTCATTTCTGACAGATGTAAGCCATAGCTCCGTGTCTTCCTTTGTGGATGACACCCAGGTCACCATGGCAGTGACCTCCATCGAAAATACTGCCAGACTCCTGGAGTTTACCCGAGAGTTTACCTGAGAGTTTACCTGAGAGTTTACCTCAGAGTTTACCTCAGAGTTTACCTGAGAGTTTACCTGAGAGTTTACCTCAGAGTTTACCTGAGAGTTTACCTGAGAGTTTACCTGAGAGTTTACCTCAGAGTTTATCTGAGAGTTTACCTGAGAGTTTACCTGAGAGTTTACCTGAGAGTTTACCTGAGAGTTTACCTGCGAGTTTACCTGCGAGATTACCTGCGAGTTAGTTCCGGGGATCAACGCCCCCGCGGCCCGGTCTGTGACCAGGCCTCCTGGTGGATCAGAGCCTGATCAACTAGGCTGTTACTGCTGGCTGCACGCAAACCAACGTACAAGCCACAGCCGGCTGATCAGGAACAGACTTTAGGTGCTTGTCCAGTGCCAGCTTGAAGACTGCCAGGGGTCTGTTGGTAATCCCCCTTATGTATGCTGGGAGGCAGTTGAACAGTCTCGGGCCCCTGACACTTATTGTATGGTCTCTTAATGTGCTAGTGACACCCCTGCTTTTCATTGGGGGGATGTTGCATCATCTGCCAAGTCTTTTGCTTTCGTAGTGAGTGATTTTCGTGTGCAAGTTCGGTACTAGTCCCTCTAGGATTTTCCAGGTGTATATAATCACGTATCTCCCGCCTGCGTTCCAGGGAATACAGGTTCAGGAACCTCAAGCGCTCCCAGTAATTGAGGTGTTTTATCTCCGTTATGCACTCCGTGAAGGTTGTACATTTTCTAGGTCAGCAATTTCACCTGCCTTGAAAGGTGCTGTTAGTGTGCAGCAATATTCCAGACCAAGATGACCAAGCGGTCATCAACCAAATCTTCGAATGGGCCACTCGAAACAATATGAAGTTCAACGACGAGAAATTTCATCTATACAATTCTAACTATACAATAGAGCAGAAAAGTAATGTGAAGGACCTGGGAGTGGTAATGGCAGAGGATCTCTTCTTCAAAGACCACAACAATGTATCTACCTCATCCGCTAGAAAAACGATTGGATGGATAATGAGAACCTTCAAAACTAGGGGCGCCAAGCCCGTGATGATTCTCTTCAAATCGCTTGTGCTTTCTAGGCTGGAATACTGCCGTACACTAACGTCCCACTTAAAGGCTAGCAACACTGCAGACCTGGAGTGTACAAAGAACTTTCACGGCACACAAATGTGATAAGGCACCTAAACTACTGGGAACGGTTGAAGGTCCTTGATCTTTATTCCCTCGAACGCAGGTGAGAGATATGCATGATAATATACACTTGGAAGGTCCTAGAGGGATTGGTACCAAACCTGCACATGAAAATCACTCCATATGAAAGCAAAAGTCTCAGCAGATGCAACATTCCCCCGATGAAAAGCAGGGGCACCACGAGTACATTGAGAGACAAGACAAAAAGTGTCTGGGGCCCAAGACTGTTAAATTGCCTCCCAGCATACATAAGGGGGATTACCAATAGACCCCTGGCTGTCAAGAAAGCACTGGACAGGCACCTCAAGTCGGTACCTGACCAACCGGGCTGTGGTTCGTACGTCAGCTTGCTTGTGGCCAGCAGTAACAGCCTGGTTGATCCACCATGAGGCCTGGTCTCGGACCGGGCCCTGGGGGCACTGACTCCCGAAACCCTTTCCAGGTCAACT